GGGTCTCGAACCCGCGGGCTCAGGCAATCCACTCACCTCAGCCTCCAAAGGCGTGGGATTACAGGCTGAGCCACCGAGCCCAGCTACCAGTCTTCGATTCTTGACCTACATTTTCCTTCCTCTGGGAGGGCCTTGCACCCCTCGTCGGGACCACTCGCTTCCGCACCTGCTCCCGTGTGCCCTCTCCTCTCCTGTGGCAAGGTGCTCATGCTTCATAGTCATAGCTTAATTGATTCCCTGTTTTTCTGCCCAAGAGTTGGGCTCATACCAGTGTCTTTCGCTGCAGTGTCTGGACATAGCAGGCATAGTGGGCAATCAATATATCTTTCGTTCCTTGACTGGTTGGTGGTTTTTTGTAGCTTACTGTGTCGGGCCTGCTGTGATGAAGGGCCAGGCTTCCAGACTTCTCTCAGTGTTCTTGGTTTCCCTCTCTGCCTGCCTTGCCCCTTCCTTTGTGGCATCTTCCCAGGACTGTTCTTGGGTTTCTGCTGACACTGTTTTGCGCGTAGGCTCTTCTTCAGGACTGAGGAAACCTGAAGGGGTGAGGGAATCCTCATACGATGCTGTATGGGATCTGGAGTTGGGTGGGGACCAGTGGCTTGTCCTGGAAACTCTGCATCTGCCTTCACATGCTCTACCCTGGATTTGTTTCTTTGGGGTAAGGAACAGAGCAAGGGCTGGTGAGAGACATAGGGTTTCAGCTTAAAAGTGGAAGGTAGGCTGGGTGCAGTGGCTCACGCCTGTCATCCCAGCACTTTGGGAAGCAGAAGTGAAAGGATTACCTGATTCCAGAGGTTCAAGACCAGCCTGGGGAATTGGCGAGACCATATCTCTACAGTAAGTCACAAAATTAGCCAGGCGTGGTTGTGTGTGCCTGTGGTACCAGCTACTTGGAAGGCTGAGGCAGAAGGATTGCCTGAACCCAGCAGGTTGAGGCTGCAGTGGCCGTGAGCATGACACTGCACTCCAGCCTGGGCAACAGATGAGACTCCGACTAAAAAAAAAAAAAAAAAAAAAAAGTGAAAAGTGGAGGATACCTCTTCCTCCCTCTGTTTTACTCTTTGCTGCTATGAGGCCAGAGGAGTTTAAGAGCACTGGAATGACACGGCTCTCCCCAGCACAGTGAGGCAGTTGAAGGGCTGGTGTCAGCTTCCAGGCATTGAACACGAGGGGGCGGCTCACTAGTCAGAACAAACACTGAGGCCACACTTAGAAGTATCTGTGTCTGTCGCCTGTCTTCCTCTTTATCCTCCAGACCCTACCACCTTCCCCCAATTCCAGACCTACACTCCCTCTATACACAGGCATTGGGACCTGGAACTCACTGTTTCATCTGTCTGTTCATCCAACTGTGCACTTATTAAACAAATATTTACTGAGTGCTAGGCACTTTGGGAAGCTCTGAGGATCTTATTGATAGTAAGGCAGACAGACTCTCCAGTTCATTCAATGAATTTTATTGCACATCTATGACGTGCCTGGCATTGTGCCAGGCACTGAGGTTCCACCCAGAAGTAAGACCCAGTCTCTCCTTTTCGCCCTCCTTCTCTCTTGTTCATTTATTCGTTCACTTACAAACATCTGTTGTGTTGACCGCTGCAGAGCCTGGGGTGCATTTTCCTAATCCTTCCATCTCTGGTGGCTCCGTGAAGTTCAGAGAGCCCAGCAACAGACTTTGCCACATCCCATGCAGAATGCTTCACTATTGCCAGGCTCTGGCCTGTGACCCCCAAGCTCTGGCTCTCACAGTTTGGCAGATGGAGACAACTGAGTTCCACTTTCCAGCCTGTTCTCTCCCACCCTGCTTCTTCTCAAAGGTTCCCCGGGGCCACAGATGCTCTTCCAACTCCCCTAATGCCCCCTCTGCAAAGTGGCCTAGTTGTGTGCCCTTCTCACTGCTCCAGTTCTGACTAGAAGGAAGAAGGGACAGGGCCTGGCCATCTACCCCAGGTCCTCTCTGTGTCCCCATGGCTCGCAGGTGTTTCCGATCCTAGCTGTTCCAGCTGGCCCGTGCAGGAGGCTGCAAGCGTGTGGTGAGGCGGCTGGGTTACCCATTAACTCAGCCATAAGGCGAAGGGCCAATGGGCAGCAGGTGGACTTGAGTCTCCTTTTTGTCCATGGGCTCGGGCTGCTGCTTCAGGCCCACCTGCAGCTCCAAGATGGTCTCCTGGTCTGTGATAACGAGAACACAAGCAATACTGCAGAGGAAGATGGTGCGAGAATTTGTGGCTGAGTTCATGAGCACATATGTCATGATGGTGAGTGGGTGGGCGGCATGGGGAGGGTGGAGCTCAGCAAGGTAGCCCATGACCATCCCCCTCACTGCAGACCCCATGGGTCACAGTGTCTATCCCCCGCCTCTGAATTGGGAACCTGGGGAAGAAGCAGAGGAAAGGAAGGAGAAGCCTTTCTCACCAAATCTTTCTGGGGCAGAAAGGGCTTGTAACATGGGATAGAATGAAACCATGGGCTGTCTGGGGCCATGGCTGGAAGGAGAAGGGGAACCAAGGGTAAAATGATTGAGGGAACCTTGAATGTCAGGTTTTGAGAAGTAATCCTGAGGGCAATGGGAAGCATGGAAGGTTATCAAGAAGGGGAGTGACGTGGTCAGATTTGGATTTTAAAAGGTAATTGTAAGCCAGGCTCAGTGGCTCAGCCTGTAATCCCGCGCCTTTGGGAGGCTGAGGTGAGGGGATTGCCTGAGTCTGAGGGTTCGAGACCCGCTTGGGCAATTTGGCGAACCCTCATCTTTACAATAAATCAAAAAATTAGCTGGGCATGGTAGTGTGTGCCTGTAGTTCCAGCTACTTGGAAGGCTGAGCCAGAAGGATCACCGGAGCCCAGTAGGTTGAGGCTG